AACCTCTACTAAAACTAAACTAAAAAAAAAGGAAATGGTAGGAAACGGTATAAAAAATAAGATGTTGGGAAACGGTATAAAAAATAAGATATAGGGAAATGGTACAGAACTCTAAAAGGGAGAGAAACAGTGTAAGACTGGATGAAATAAAGAAACAGTACAGAACTGGAAGAGATAAGAAAACAGTATTTATGACACGTAAGATGCAGAGAAATAGTATACAGCTGGGTGAAACAGAAAAACGGTTAAGTTGTCACTTGCAAACTAGGCTGTTTTCCCTATTTCGTACTGTTGTTTCCCTCACTGGATCCTTCATAACGTGAAAAAATATCTAGAGGTCAAACATTCTGCGTGGGTGGTTGGCGGGTGCTTTGGTGTGGTTTTCTTCTTCTTTCCTATCAAACATCTATCGTCCTTATCTCCCCTTCTTCTTTTTTATGTTTGTTACTCTCTTGTAACGCCTCTAATCTTCTGGCGCACATATGACCTTATGCAGTTGCGAGCTCAGTAAAACCTCTACTAAAAGTTAAAAAAAAACAGTGCTGCAAAACTTCACTTCTCATAGCTTCTCACTGTTTCGTCGTGATACGGTTGTTTCAGTTGTGGGACACGGAGCAGAAGAAGCTTCTCAGGTCAATGACTGGTCATGCAGCCAGGGTCGGTTGTCTCTCTTGGAACCAGCATATTCTCTCCAGGTCAGTGAAGTGGGTGGTTGGAGGGCACCACTTGTGGGCCCTGTTATATTATATTGTCTAGCTTTAAACTTTGATCTAATTAAAGTAAATCATTACTGTACACAACAGTTCCAGCAGTTTTGGTATTCTTTGAAACAGTAAACACATGCTTCCCAGTCAAGATTCTTGTTGTCCTGGTTAATCCCGTAGTTGTCTGAAGTCTGTCGACCTACTAACATTTATTACAGGCCCTGCTTCTTTTCTTTCCTTCTGTTGTTTCTGTCTGTCTAAACCTGCTTATCACCCTGCACAAAATTGCAGTTCTTGTGTCAATGTGCTTCTTTTTACTCAGACAAACAAACGGGGTCTGTGAGAGTTCTGAAAGAATTCAAATTTTCCGCTGTTCCCTGACATTTTTTTCCTTTTTAATTTTTTGCTTCATTCTTTCGGTTGTTGAAAGGTGATACTTGTGCTAAAATTTTCTTCTTCTTTTCTGTCCCTTTTTGGTGTCTTTCTGTTCACCTTGTTTTCCAACAAAACAAAATGATTGTTTTAGTTTTTCTGTGCTTTTAAAAAATAGAAACTGAAATAACATTTTTGTATGGCTTTGTTTATCTGTCCTCAGAGAAAGTTGCATTTGAAAATAGCAAAAGTTGCAAAAAGTTGCAAGAAAAATTAGCAAAAGTTGCAAGAAAAGTTGCAAGACGTGTATAGCTAAAATAATGCCACGGAACTATTGGAATACATTGTTGCTATGCTCATTGCAATCAAAAGGAACCAATATGAATTTTGTTAGATCAAAATCAGAAGTTAAATGTGAATGTCTACCCAAAAAAAACAACAACCAAACAAACTGCATGGAGGTTGCATGATGTACAAAAACAGTTTGTCCCCTGACACATGCTACGACCCTCCTAGCCTAAGATTTAACATAATCTGTATCTGCTATGGAACCAAGCAAGCTATTCAGACGACCGTGTTTACGACTGATTTACTCCAGGGCTAGATCTGGCTAGACTAGAAGATGATTCAGTCCAAACAAGACTATTTGGTCGGTTTGCTCGCCAGATTGATGGTGCAAAGCGGCTATCGTGGCACAAGTCCATCGCGTCCATCTCGTTGTTTCAAAACAAACATTTTTTCAGGCGACGAGTCGGGCGATCAACCCGACCCGACCTGACCCGCCAGGGTCACTGGGCGGCGGCGGGCACCCCGAAGTGCAAAGGAGTGAATTGCCCCCCTTGGCGTCGTAACTTTTATTAATTTTTTCGGTGTTTTTGATGAAATTTTATTATTATTTTCCCAAATTTTGCTGGAAATTGGCAAAAATTCGCGAATTCGCGAAAATGGTTAAAGTTGCGCAAGAGTTGCGCTGAGGGCAAAAGTTGCACGCGCGAATTTCTCGGGGTTTTTTTTTGGCGCTTTTAGTTCTGCAAAAAATTTAACATTAAAGTTTGTACAAAGTCAGCTACTTTAGGTTCTGCATTCTTGTTAAAAGATCTCTTGACCGAGGGTTTTACTTAATTATCTTGTCTTTTGTTTGGAAAAATGTTGGACGGGTGGGAAAAATATTCTTTTAACAGGGTTGTAAATGTCTGAAAGAAATTCTTTTTTTTTCTTTTTTTTTGGTAAGTGTTTTACGATGCTCGCAACTGAATAAGGTCATATGAGGGCGTGGGACACATTAAACTTTTTTAGTTGGTAGGAAATTTTGAATTTTGCCTGGGTGGCAGCCGAAGCCCACTCTTCAATTTTAGACCACCAAGGGATCTTTAACACCTTAACGTCTAGGCCTCGAGAGCCCCCCCAAATTCTTTTCTTATCTCGAGTGACATATAGAATATACTGACGATATCAGGTTACAAATTTGTCGAATCCGAAATTTCTCCTTTTTAAAAAAAATTTGTTTGTTTCCTTTGTTGTTAGATCTTCCGCAAGGGAATTCCTTTCATTCATATCCTTCAAACACAACAGTAAACCGGGTGAGTAGGTATTGATTTTTTGTGTGCTTTATTTATGTCCCCCCCCCCTGAAAAAAATTACCTTAAGTGGACTTGACTGGTTTGTGTCTGACAGCATTGACATGTAAACTATGACATTTTCTTCTTTCTTTTCTTATCCCTGGCAATATTTGATACGATTTGCTGTATGGAAATATAAACGTGATCTGTGTCTTTATCTCGTGGAATTATCTCGTTTCAGCGGCTCTCGCACGGGGTCCATCCACCAGCACGACGTACGAGTGGCCAACCACCAGGTGGCGACGCTGCAGCACCACACGCAGGAAGTGTGCGGGCTGCGCTGGTCCCCGGACGGCCGCCATCTTGCCAGCGGAGGCAACGACAACATCGTGAACGTGTGGGGGGAGCGCAACAGCGCGGGCGACCCTCTGCACACCTTCACCAGCCACCAGGCCGCTGTCAAAGTAAGTTGTAAGGTTTTTGTCAGTGCCGTGCACATTGGCCCAAAGTTTAGTTGTGGGTGGCTGGCGGGTGCTCTGGTGCGGTTTGCTCCTTCTTTCCTGTGAACATCTATCGTCCTTATCTCCCCTTCTTCTTTTTTATGTTTGTTACTCTCTTGTTACACCTCTAATCTTCTGGCTACCCCCCGCGGCACTGACTGAAGTGTCTTTAGGCCATTCCCAAAGGGCGGACATACTCGTTCAAGCATAGTAGAATTGTAAGTGGGCTGACTCATGTCACGCTCATAACTGTGCCTGATCTACTACAGGGAACTGCTGCTTTTTCTTTCCTGATCCTTACTATTGTCATTTTCCTCTACTTCTTTTGTATGTTTGTTACTCCTTTGTGACCTGCTATTTTGGGGTGCCTTGATAGTCGAAGCAGACCTTGTGCCGTTTAAGCTAGAGAGGTGAGCAGTCTAAGTCTGATTCCCTGTAAGGACTTCTCTGTTGACACCCACCCCTTGGCGCTCATATGACCTTATGCAGTTGCGAGCGCCGTAAAACCTCTACTTTAAAAAAAATAAAAAAAAAGTTTAGTTAACAGGGATGCCAAATCTCCGTTTTTTCAGGCTTCTTCCTGTTTTTTCATCCGTTCATACAGTTGCGAAAGAAAGGGGAGAGGTAAGAGATTTGTTTTTGTTTGCTCATTTAAAATCTCCACAGGGTTCATTTTAGGTGAGATGTGATGCTCCGCTCATTTTCAGTTGTTTTAAAAAAATCATTTGGCATCCCTGGTTAAATCCGTGTTTAAATGGTTTCAATCAGTTGAGGAAGACCAAATTTTCCTTCCTGGGGGGGGGGAGGGAACTTACCTTTTTGTCACAATTTGATCAAATCTTCCACAAGCGAATATGCTTGATTTTGTAGGTCTCCACTGGGGTTCAGTTGAGCCAATCACAACACTAGCACATGTCACATGACATTACAGAGTCAAATCTTTTGTTTGTATATATGGAGTACGACGGGCTACAATCTTTTGTTTTCTTTTAGTAGTAAGGTTTTACTGCGCTCGCAACTGCATAAGATCTTATGAGTGCCAAGGGGTGGATGTCATCAGAGAAGTCCAAACGGGGATTCAGGCTTACTCAACTACAATCTTTAATAAATTTGTCAATAAACGTAGTTACTTTTTGCAAATGTTGTGGTTGCAGGACACTACTGATAAGTCACACTTGTTTGTTTTCTTTCTATTTTTTCTGCTTGTCTAGTTTACTTTTCCCTGCACCAAATGACCCTTATCATATCGATGTGCTTTTCTTTAATCAAACGTTAACCCCCCCCCAAAAAAACAACAACAACAAAAACCCAAAGAAAAACCCAATAATGTGTGTGTGGTTGGTGGGTGTTCGAGTATGGTTTGCTCCTTCTTTCCCGTTAAACACCTGTCTTCCTTATTTCTCCTTCTTTTTTTGTTTTTGTTTCTGTCTGTCTTGTAACACCTCTGATCTTCTTCACTTATTTGACTATGTTTTGTTGCAATACCCACAAAACTTATCTAGGTGGGTGGTTGGCAGGTGCTTTGGTGTGGTTTGCTCCTTCTTTCCTATCAAACATCTATTGTCCTTATCTCCCCTACCTTTTTTTATGTTTGTTACTCTCTTGTAACACCTCTAATCTTCAACACTTTTATGACCTTATTGTTTTGCAAGAGCCGTAAAACACTTACTAAAATTAAACTTATCAAAGCTAAAAAACAAAACAAACGCTAACTTCTTTGAATTGTAATGTCTTTGACCCAGGCTATAGCGTGGTGTCCGTGGCAACCTTATCTGCTGGCCACAGGAGGAGGGACCGCTGACCGGCACATTCGTCTCTGGAACGTCCAGTCTGGCTCGAATATCGCGAACACGGACACAGAGTCTCAGGTATAGAAAGTGCATGAGGGAACCACAACACTCTCAAAGTCATCACTTACAATAGAGGTGACGCTCGTTTCACTTTTCGACATACCTTTATTAAATGTTAAGGGTTCTGATGGCGACAACTTCTATCAAATTTTGGACACTCCATGTGAGGATTACTTTACTTTACTTTTCCGATCCAGTGGCCATCTGAGTTCTAGACATTCTGCCTGTTGTTGTGAGTAGAAAGGAATGACAGCCTGAGGGGATCTAGTGTAGGCACCAAATAAAGAACTAAATTAACCTTAAGATTGATCTTTATCACTTTATCATCGTCCTCATTTTATTTACTCGTGATAATAATAATCATCATTATCATCATCACTGTTACTGTCATCATCATCATTAGTGTAAATCGTCAAAGTTATTTAATAATACTAATAATAATAGATAGCATTTGTTTCACACACATTCCCTCTCAACAACAAAAAATTATCTGTGTTATTCGGAACAGTATAATTCTTACAACCACCAAATAAACTCACTATTCATAACTTACCAGTATTCTGCACCGAATCAGGACA